GATGAGGGCGTTGCTGGCTAGGCAGCATTTATTGCCCATCCCTAATTGTCCTGAGGGCAATTAAGAGTCAGCCACATTGCTGTGGGTCTGGACTCACATGTAGGCCAGATCAGGCAAGGATGGCAGTTTCCTTCCCTAAAGGGCATTAGTGAACCAGATGGGTTTTTCCGACAATCGACAATGGATTCATGGTCATCACTAGATTCTTAATTCCAGATATTTTATTGAATTCAAATTCCGCCATCTGCCGTGGCAGGATTCGAACCCAAGTCCCCAGAACATTCTAGATCACTGGATTAATAGACTAACAATAATACCGCTAGTTTATTTCCACCTTATTAGAGAATCAAATCTCGAGAGCTCTGTCTAGTCATGTGACCTTATATCATCGATATATCATGATCTCTTAGACTCATGCTGTTAGTTCAATTATCCACAGATCCTTCTGTTATTCAGGCCTCTTTCTGGTACATTATCACTGGAATCATTGTTCCCAGTGGAGCTCCTGGCAATGGAGAGCTGCTGGGCTCTGCTTGGCCGATAGATCTCAAGATCCTGAATCTCTGGGATAGCCTAAAGCTGGCCAATTGAGTGCCTGACAAGCACTTAACCCGGCTGGAAGTCTTTTTAGAAGCAAGCAGTGCATTGAACCAGCAACCAGTTCCATTAAATTCTGTCCCAGAAGAGTAAGCCTGATTAATGTTTTCTCTCCTGAGTCTGGGGCACCAATTGCACTGCCCAGGCCATCATTCTGTGTGGGTGTGTAAACACAAACAAGAAGGGTCACTGGACTTAAAACATTAACTATTTCTCTCTCCACAGATGCTGCCAGGCCTTCTGAGTTTCTCCAGCAATTTCTTTTTTTTAAGAGATTGGGCAAGTTGGTACAATTAAAGGATTAACCAGCTCAGTGGGCTAATGGTAAAATTAAACAAGTCCAAATTATCATTAGTCAGAGAGAAAGGAAGGGCCATCTTTGTGTAGCTGAAGTGTTGTTGTTAGCTCCATGTAGCTGTAGTATAGAAAAAAAAACCTGGGAGCCATTGATATCACTGAGCTGCTGGGGAGCTAAAGCTCAGAGAATCCAAGGATCAGTGGCCACTCAGTGAAAGTGAAGAATGTCAGTTCAGTGAAGTTGGAGTTGAGACACTGGCGGGTAGCCATAGGGCGTAGTTGTCATGTCAGGGAAGCTGAAGTGGATGTCTGCTCTGTGAAGGTGGCAGTTGGAGCACAGTTAGAGAGCCGAGATAATGCCGGTGATTAAATGCTGGGGTGCAGCCTTGTGAAACTAGTGGGATGTAGGAAAAGTGATTGAGCAACAGGAAGTAAGCAGTTACTGGGGCAATTTCAGAGAGTGTCCTATTGTCTGAAAACCCATTGCAAGCCAAAGTAGCAGGAGGACTTCCAGCTAAGTTGGAAGGGCTGTTGACAGGAAATCAAAGACAAAGTCCTTCACTAAGAAGAGCTGAAATTCCAAATGAGAAAGATGGAGTTGGAAAGACTTTGAGACTTACAGTCATATCTGATGTCTGGGTGGGCTTCTGAGAAAATTTGTGGGCTGTGTCCTGGCTGTACCTTCCGTCTAATGTGCAGTTGTGCTGCATTTAGTTTGTCTGTTAATTAATGTTTATCTCATGTTAATTCTGGACCTTAGAGTACCAGATAAATAATAATGACTGTTTTGTAGTCTCTTATATGGTAAAATTCCTTCTGTTTGTTTGAAACCATGGAATCATCTAACTTTATTACTTTAGTATAATAGTTAGGTTTTCAAATTTCATCTGTTTTAAAAAATTCCCGGTACCTTCCCGAATCATAACAATGTGTATTCAGTTTGATTTGTTTACTTGATATGTTGTAATGTACAACAGTTGCCTAAATTATTATGACTTGAACTATTCTGGAACTATTCAAAATTCAGAAGTGCCAGGACAATGTAAGCAAGGCTTATAATGTGCCTTTTGTTCCAGTTTATTTTGCATGCTTATCCAAGATAATTGCAAATGCTACCTATGGTTTATACCTTTTCTCGTTATATCAATGTGCACAAACAAATGTGACCTAAAAGTCCCAGTGTTTACTTTTGTTCAAACTAAATCTCCTCAATTAACTTGAAACTTTGAAGTAAAGAAGATTAATGTGAAGAGGGACAACTAATTTTGCCAGCAGTTATGGCATGTCTTAACATCTGGATCAGTTTCTGGCGGAAATTCATGTGTCCTTACTATAATAGTTTATTGCTGCACTCGATAGCTGATTCGAATAAAAAATTGAAATAGACTTTTAATTTGCAATGAAAATATACATTCTAAATTTGCTGCTAGTGACATTAGATTTAATAAGCTGAAAAATAATATGATTTTCATACATTACTCTGTAAAAAAAAAACAAGGCAAGGAAATACATGATGAATGGTCAGACTCTGGAAAGCAGCAATCATCAGAGGGACCTTAGTGTACATGCTCACCAATCCCTTAAGGTAACAGGACAGGTAGATAAAGTGGTTAAGAAGGTAAGTGGGATACTTGCCTTTATCAATCAAAGCATTGAGTTTAAGAGTGGGGAGGTTGAGCTGGAACTAACACTGGTTAAGCTACGGCTAGAATATTCTGTGCAGTTCTGAAATTCACATCGTAGGAGAGATGTAATTGCACTGGAGAGGTTGCAGAGGAGATTTATCAGGATGTTACCTGGGCTGGAAAGTTTTAATAATGCAGAGAGATTGAAAAGACAAGGATTGTTTTCTTTGGAGCAGAGGCAACTGAGGGGACGTGTATAAAGTTAGGAGGGCCATAGATAGGCTGTACATGAAGACACATTTCCCCTTAGTCGAGGGATCAATGACCAAGGGGCATAGATTTAAGGTAAGGTCCAGGTAGTTCAGAGGGGATGTGAGGAAAATATTTTTTACCCAGAGAATGAGGAGGATCTGGAGCTCATTGTCTGTAAGGTTGATAGAGACCGAAACCCTCATAAGATATAAGAAGTATTTAGATGTGCACTTGCAATGCCATTGGAATACAAGGTTATGGACCAAGTGCTGGAAAATGGGATTAGAATAGTTAGGCGCTTGCTTTTGATCAGTGCAGACTTAATGGGCCAACGGGCCATTTTCTTGACACTATGACTCAAAGATAATGGTGTGATTTCTCTGAAGATGAACTTGCAGAAAGGCTAATTGATTGTTAATAACCTCTACTCCAATCAAAGCCTTTGGCAAAGATCCTCTGAGCAAAAAAAAAGGCCATGTTATTGAAGCCTTATGGAAGATGACACAAGCATGAAGCTGTAGTCAACTACATGCTTTAAGTGCAGTCAACACGATTGCTATAGTCAACAAAGTGGACCAGACCAGCAAGATCTAGCATACATGCAATTTGTCACAGCCAAAGTTGCAACCCGAAGTTGCCTGGAGTTTCTTCACATCTGCAGAGCATGTGACACCAAACGACATCGGGCACATATATGCAGAAAAATTGGTTTCAAAGACCAGTGAGACTCTGGAACAAGAACCTAGTGACCAACAAAGCACAGCTTTGGCAAGTCAAAAGTTGTCTAAATGTATCCAAGTACAGCGATGAAGTGAATAACCAACAAATTGGAGATAACACAGTGTGGAGCTGGAGGAACACAGCAGGCCAGGCAGCATCAGAGGAGCGGGAAAGTCGACATTTTGGGTCGGGACCCTTCTTCAGAAATGGAGAGGGGGAAGGGAGCTCAGAAATAAATAGAGAGAGGAGGGGTGGGGCTCGGGAAGGTGGGTGGGATGATGATAGGTGAGTGCAGGTGCGGAGTGGTGGGAATTGGTCTGTGAGGTGGGAGGAGCGGTTAGGTGGGAGAAAATATGGACAGATTGTGTCAGGTCAAGGAGGCAGGGATGAGAGGGATGAGAGGGAGAGTATAGGATGAGGCTGGGGGTGGGGAGATTTTAAAACTGGTGAAATCCATGTTTAGGCCATTGGGCTGTAGGCTCCTGAGTTGGAATATGAGGTGTTGCTCCTCCAGTTTGTGGGTGGCATCATTGTGACACTGGAGGTGGCCCAGGATGGACATGTCACCCAGGGAGTGGGAGGGGGAGTTAAAGTGGTTCGCGACCGCAAGGTGTTGTCGTTTGTCATGTACAGAGCGCAGATGCCATGGACACTAGTGGTAGATTCTTTGCTGTTCTTCAAAATGTTGTCATGGCATCTTTACCTCCACCTGAGAGCAGATGAAGACTCAGTTTAATGCATTATTTGAAAAACAATACCTCTGTTTAAATATTTATTTCATTATTTAAAATTCCTTTTTGTTTGGTAGATATTGGTTTCTGCTCACAGATTGAATATCTGATGCCAGTATGCAACATAGAAGATATGAAACTGAAATTTGTGCAGGAATTATACTGCCAGAGGGACAGTAAGTGTGTTCAGTCGTACATACCATTTACCTGAATCATTTATAATTAAATAGTGGTCCATGTACTCACCAAATGGGGGTCTGTGGCAGGAATCACGTAGACGGTGACATTGTTTGAATCCATCAATGATCGGAGAGCACTTAGGCGCTGTGACGTGTTCGTGACTGTGGGAGGCAGATACTAAATACAAAAATAGATAGTAAATCTAATAGTCCATATCAATAATCTTCATTATTACAAAAGAGTCAAGAACAGAATTAGTGCTAGATATAACTGAAGGACTAAATTTAAATTTTACATCAAAACCTGTCACAGTGTTTAAGTTTTTTCCTGTCCTTGAATCATACACTTCTCTGATAGTATGATTGCTTCTCTTAATTGTTCCTCGGGAACTCCAAAGGGCTCCTGTATTGTCCAGTAATGCCAAACTTGAGGCAATCTGGTAACCATATTTGCCTCACAATACAAATATATGCAAAGGATAGGGTGATTCAACACATGAAGTGAGTTTGAGCATAATTGGGAGATAGTGACATAGTGATAGCAATCTAGAAGCCCAGGCTGATATGTTGGAAATATGGGTTCAAATTCAGTAGGAAATTTGGTGGAATTCAATTAATTAATCTAGAATATCAAGATGACCATGATAATTATAATCACTTGGTATGAAAACCCAACTGGTTCATTGATACCCTTTCTGCTATCCTTATCTGCTGGTATTGCCTACATGTGAATTCACAATAACAATTAAATGTGGTTGACTCTTATCTATAATGCCTAACAAACCAATCAGTTAAAAGGAAATTAAGGCTGGGCAACAAATGTTGGTTGTGCCTGTGACACCAAAAAAAAGAGGAAATGCGTGGCTAAGGAGCCGGTGTAGAGGGCAGGGTTTCAGATTCTTGGATCATTGGGACCTCTCCTGGAGCAGGGGTGACCTGTACAAGAGGGACGGGTTGCACCTAAACTGGAGGGAAACCATTATCCTTGCATGGAGGTTTGCCAGTGCTGCTCGGGAGGATTTAAACTAAAGTGGCAGGGGCTGGGAACCAAAGCAACAGGTCAGCAAATGGAGGGATTGAGGGGAAGGTAGATGTTAGGTCCAGTAAATCAAGAAGAAAGGACAGGCAGAGACACATAAATGAACACGATGGTACCAATATACTGAACTATGTTTATTTCAATGCAAGGAGTTTTAAAGGTAAAGCAGATGAGCTTAGAGTCTGGGTCAGTACATGAGACTATGGTGTTGTGGCCATTACAGAGACTTAATTGAGAGAGGTTTTGTTGTTGTAGCTGAGATAGAGAGGAAGGTAAAAGAGGTGGAGGAGTTGCATTACTAATCAGGGAGAATGTTACATCTGCACTCAGAAAGGATATGCTGGAGGGCTTATCCACTAGTTAACATGAGTAAAGCTCAAAAATAAGATGGGTGCAATCACTCTGATTGGATTATACTATAGGCCTCCCAACAGCCACTGAGAGAGTGAGAACAAGTATGTAGGCAGATTATGGAAAGGTGCAATAAAAACAGATTTGTCATAGTGGATGACTTTAACTTCCCTGTTATTGACTGGGACTCCCTTAGAGCAAGAGGCTTAGATGGGGTGGAATTTGTTAAGTGCATCCAAGAGAGTTTCTTGAAACAGTATGTGGATAGTCCAACTAGAGGAGGGGCCATACTGGACCTCATATTGGCAAATGAACCTGGTCAGGTGACTGACCTTTCAGTGGGAGAGCATTTTTATAACAGTGATCACAACTGCTTCTGTTTAAGACAGCTATGAACAAGGATAAGTCAGGACCTTGCAGGAAGGTAATAAATTGGGGGAGTGTAAATTACATCAGTATTAGGCAGGAGCTAGGGAGTATTAATTGGGAGGAGCTGTTATCAAGCAAGTCCAAATTTGACATGTGGGAACTGTTTAAAGACCTGCTGGGGGGAGTTCAAGACCAGCATGTTCCAGTAAGGAGGAAGGATAAGGATGGCAAGGTAAGGGACTCTTGGATAATTAAGGACGTTGTAAATTTAGTCAAAAGTGAAAAAGAAGCATTTGTAAGGTTTTGGAAGCTAAAATTGGACAGGGCCAATGAGGAATATAAGGAAAGCAGGAAAGTAGTCAAATAGGGAATTAGGAGAAGAAGAATGGGCCGTGAAATGACCTTGGCAAGTAGGGTTAAAAACACTCCCAAGGCATTCTATACATACATTAAAAGTAAGAAGATAAGTAGGGAGAAAGTAGGACCACTCAAAGTTAATGGAAGGAACTTGTGCTTGGAGGCAGAGAATGTGGATGAGATCCTAAATGAGCTCTTTGCATTGGTATTCACCCAGGGATAGGATATGGAGGATAATGAGGTATGTGTGGGGCATGCTAATATGCCAGGGCATTTTGAGATCAAGAAAGAAGAGGCATTGGATCTCTTGAAGAGCATTAAGGTGGATAAATCCCCAGGGCCCAATGGTATCTACCCCAGGTTATTGAGGAGATTGCAAGAGGAGATTGCTGAGGCCTTGACCAAGATCTTTGTATTCTTGCTAGCCACTAGAGAGTCTCAGAGGACTGGTGAGTAGCTAATGTTGTTCCTCTGTTCAATAAGGGAAATAGGGATAATCCAGGAAACTACAGACCAGTGAGTCTCACATTGGTGGTTGGGAACCTATTGGAAAGAATCCTTAGGGATAGGATTTACACACATTTGAAAAAGCATGGCCTAATTAGGGACAGTCAGTATGGCTTTGAATTTTTGAGGAGGTGACGAAGATGATGGCAGAGCAGTGGATAATGTTCACTTGATTTTAGTAAGGCTTTTGACAAGGTTCCTGATCGACCTCTGTATGGAGGATTGAATTAGCTTTTACATATCTTACATGCTATTTAATGTATTATTTCTAATTTTGGCATTGAAGATAATTTCTTCAACTGTTCTACTCACGATTTACCCTTTGGATTTGTGTTGCACACATAACAACAGCAGCTACTACAGACATCACCTTACATAGAAACAGTCAGAAGGCAAAATATTTGATGTTGTATGTTTCCAGGATAGCTTTAAGGTGTATGAGTTAAAGGAAAGGTGTAACTCAATAATTAAAACATTCTTTTCATTTCGTTTGTTTTTGTTTTTTATTTCCCTTACATTTTCTCAGCAGTTTACCTTTACACAATTCTTCCAGCTTAAACATAGTTTGCTAAATGTTTCATACTTCTTTTGCTGCTACCAATGTTGCTGCTAAGACACATGAATAATTGATATCACCAGGACCTGAGGCCACAGATTTCTCATCTTGTGGACATTGATGCATAAGTATTACATTCAAGTATCTTCAGTTTATACCAGGGATTTTTAAATTGTTTCCATTTAAATTTATGGAACATGTTGTCTTACTAGATATAGCTATCCTTTTGTGATTTTGCCCCTTACATGGTCATTATAATAAAGCAGGATATCCCCTGAGATGCCATTATCATTACTGCAAGTCAATAAGACTCGGGAACAGAAAACTCCTCTGGAATTTTTCTGGAAGAATTCTTCTATGACATTTTGGAATATTCATTTCAAAGCATTTGCATTCAATGTTAAGGATATGTTAGCTCATAATTAAATTATCTCAATCAGCATCTTTCAGTGTTTAGTGACCAAAGAAGAACATGGGAAGTATGGAACTAGGAAAGTCAGCTCAGTCCATCATGGTGGTTTATTCCATAGATTTCAATAATGTTTTTCCAACCTCACATAACTGCTGATAGACCCTGGCTAATATTTCCTACTGCCTAAGCATAAGAATCATTGTGTCTCAGTTTTTTAGAGTTAGACTTTCACATCATATCAGTTTTTCCCTCTCTCCCACCTCAAATTTCATTGCTAAGAAGCTCTTATGTTCACTTTTTTTTTTACCCTAAGTATCAATTATCATTGCTACTTACTGGAGGGTTGCTTCCACAATCTTTCACAAGACCTGCATCACGTTTATCCGATAGGAAAGGTCGACAGCTTGCCAGCTGGAACAATCCTAGAATAGTAAAAGTCACCGTTGAACTATGAATTATCAGTTATTGTCCCCTGGAATCAAGAGGCAAACTGATTTAAAATAATTGAGTTGAAAATTGGGACTATGGGATGATGATAAAAGCATAAAAATAGGAAGTACTGCTAGCAAGAAAGCTAATTTCCTGTTTGTTAAAATGTCAGTCTAAACTTTTGGTAATGCAAATGCTAAGCAGGTTGAGATGTAAAAGAAAAACATCTGGAGTGGTTAAGTGTTTTAAATAGTGGGTGATGCAATTATAAATTGAATAAGATTGTTATATTTCGGGGATATATTTTTAAATTTAAATGAAGGAGGCCAAGTGACCTGCTCTGAAGCCTCACTGATTACACACTGTGTGATTTAGTTGCCAGAGATCATAAAACAACTCTTCACCACTTGATATCCAATTACAAGCTCATTCATGAATCCTGTACGATCTAACCTTACTAATTAGTCTTCAATGCGGAACCTTATCAGAGAATTTACCAAAGTTCAAGGAAACAATGTCTCCTGCTGTGCCCTTATCGATCTTTTTGGTTACTACCTCCAAAAACTCAATCAAGTTTGTAAAATATGATTTCCCTCGCACAAAACCATGCTGACTATTCCTAATCAGTCCTTGCCTCTCCAAATTATTGAGAGAAAAGTTGTAGAAGTTAACATTACTTTTGAAATAAAAAAAATTACCTGGCTTCTTATAATGAATTATAGGACCTGGACTTTTGCAACAATAGAGAACTTCAGGGAAGAATTGTGCCTTGTTAGAGCCAGTAAATTACCATGCAACAAAATACAGGCCTTTGATCCTCAATAGCTGAAACTTCACAGTAAATAGCCTGCTGATAACCAATGGCTATAGCCAGAACTGTGGTCAACGCCTGAACACCATGGTTACAAGACCAGCGCAGATATACAAAAAATCATTCACCTCTAACTGCTTAAAACATTTCCATCATGTGTAAGGTTCTTATCAAGAATGTAATGAATACATAACCTATATTTAAAGAGCTTAAAACCACTCAGGATATGTTCCATTGATGAAAAATCCCTCCACTGCTGTGGTTTTACTGTTCACAAAGCAGTACTGCAAATGAACAAGATTACTCCAACAGATCTTCTCTGTCTGATGACCTTTCCTATAAAGGGACTACAGCAGAAAGATCATGGAACACCTCCAATTTCAGGCACTCCTCCAACCCACACACCATTTGGACTGGCACACATGTTTTACTGACAATGGTAATCACCAACTGGTTGGTGGCTGGTTCAAGGAAAGCCCCACTAACATATTCCGAGGATTGGCATATCATAATAGCAAAAAATGTTACACATTGCACAAGGAGAAAATTGAACCTATCTACCTATGTGGAATAACAAACATATGTGCAATATTGAATCATACTGAAAGGAAAGGGGAGGCGATGCCTAGTGGTATTATTGCTAAACTATTAATTGAGAATCACAGCCAATGTTCTGGGGACCCAGGTTCAAATCCCGCCATGGGATTGAATTTGAACTGAATGTTAAAAAGAAAACTATCTTGAATTCAGAATCTACTGACCATTGTCAATTGTCAGGGAAAATCCATCTGGCGATCTAATTGCCTCAGGGAAGGAAATTTACCATCCTCACCTAGTCTGGCCTACATGTGATTCCAGATCCACACGAATCCACACCCTTCTGAGGAAGGGTCACTGGAACCGAAACGTTGACTCTGATTTTTTTCTTCACAGATGCTGCCAGACCTGCTGAGCTTTCCCAGCAACTTCTGTTTTTGTTCCACACCAATGTGGTTGACCTCTGAAATGGCCTAGCAAGCCATTCAGTTCAAGGGCAGCTAGCAACAGGAAATAAATGCTGGCTAGCCAGTGATGCCCATATCCCATGAGTGAGTAAAAAAAAATCCTAACTGCATTGACAGACAGTTTAAAAGTTTCATTAAAATGAAAAAGCTTCCTGAAGTGTTGTTTCCTGATCTCTTTCTTCAATGAGAGACCTTCAAAAAAATGTCATAAGAAATTTTGCGGCTTTTTAATTTTAAACAATGACAATGTTCAGCATAGTTAGCTTCAGTTCAGAGTATTCAGGAAATTGTGAAACTAACAGAATAGCCTAACTGATTATTTTCTAATCCTAATTCTTAGTAACTTAAGCAAACTAAAATAGCAAGAAGAAATCAAAGTTGAGAAGTATTGTCGAGATTAAAAAATGTTCACATTAAGCTTTAGAACAAAATAATTTTATTTACCTTTTAGTGCGAACAGCCATGTCCAGAAGAGAATACAGATAAGTCTCATGTTCTAAGTGTGAGTCTGCTATGTGGCGCTGTGTGCTCAGCATAGCCAACTGAGAAAATATACAATCAGCAACATGTTAATAACCTTTATCAAACTCATATGCATATATTATTGTCACATGAGAAACAAATACATTCTGTCATTGGGTCCACATTTCATAATAATAACCATTGTAGATAAGTTCTCCACTGTGTACAGTTAATCCTCAATTAAAGTTGTAGTTATGTCTTGAAAATCACAACTCTAAATGAAGTAGCTTTAAGTGAATCATAAGCTCCCAGATGGACTAATGCTAAAGTCAGAGTTAAGATCCTTCAAATATTTCTCACTTGGAGAAAGCAGTGTATATTTCTACATAATACTGTAACATATATGTGCAGTACTGTACATTCCTACCTAAAGTGGCTTGCAAACAAAATGTCATTAAATGTAGAATAAATATCATAAAAATTGATTGGAAAACATTGCAGTCATGGAGAAAATGCAGTGGAATGGAACTACACATGAATATGCAAATATGCAAATTAGGTGTGGTCAAAGACCAATTGGTTCCTTCAACCTGCTCCCCATTTAACAAGATTATGGCTGATCTGATGGCGATTTCAACTTCACATTTCTTTCTACCCCTGATAATCACAGATTCATGACCAACAAAGGAGCCAATCTACCTTGCTGTAAAAATATTCAATATCCCCACCTCCACCGCTCTTTGTGGAAGAGAATTCCACAAGCTCTTGCACCGATATGAAAAATATCCTCTTAATCTCAGTTTCAAATGGATGATCATTGATTGTTAAATGATGTCCTCTATTCCTAGTTGGATAACCTTTTCAAAGAGACAGGACAAGCATGAAATCCTTTTGATATCCTTTTGTGCTGTAGAATTTGATTAACCCACCATTAGAAGCTAAGGAGAGGCTCCTAAGTCTGGTTCTGTGGCCCTGCCCCAATCCACAGAAAATTTTTGCTATATTTTCCTCCATAAGCTTTGAAAATCTTGACTCTAATTGCTTTTTTCTGCAGCTCTTCAAGTCCTGCTATATCCAACTGTAAATGGTAGTCAACAGTTAGACAACAAACAAGTGGGGGAGGCTTCACAAATATTCCCATCTTTAATCATGGAGGTGCACAATGCATTGGTGCAAATGACAAGGCTGAAGGATTTCAAACAATCTTCAGCCAGGACCACTAACTGGATAATCCAACTCAAACTTTTCTTGAAGTCCCCAGCAATGCATATGCCAATTTTCAGGCATTTCAATTTGCTCCAGAAGAAATCCAGAAATGGCTGAAGCTACTGAATACTGCAAAGACTATGGGCCCTGCAACCCAGCAGTAAGACTGAAGATGTGCTCCAGAGTCAGCTGCATCCCTGGTCAAGCTGTTCCAATACAAGTATAGCTCTGGCACATACTCGATTATGTGGAAAATTGCCTAGATCCATCCTGTCCAGAAAAAAAAGACTTGAACAATCCAATCCGACTAGTCACTGTCCCCATCAATCTCCAGTAGATCGTAGCAATCAAGTGAAACTTACTGACCAAAACCTGCTCAGTTTGGTCTATGCCAAAACTACTGGAATCCTGATCTTGTTACAGCCTTAATCTAAACATGGATTGTTGAACTGAATTTGAGGAGGTAAGAGATTTGGTGGTCCTGACATCAAGGCTGTGTTTGGTCAGGTGATGCATCAATGAGCCCAGGCAAAACTGCTGTCAATGGGAATCGATGGAGGCACTCCTCCGACTGAAGTCATACTGAGCACAAAGGAAGAAGATGTGGCTAAAGGGTTCAATAATTTAGTTCCAAGACAGTGCTGCAGGAGATCTTCAAAGTAATATCCGAGGCCCAACAATCTCAGCTGCTTCAACAATGATCTTCCCTCCATCATATGGTCAAAAATAGAAATGTTTGTTCATGATTGCACAATAATCAGTACCATTTGCAAACCCTCATATACTGATGTAGTCCACTCCAATTCTTAGCAAGATCTGGACAACATCCAGGATTAGCTGGTAAGTGGCAAGTAATATTTGTGTCATATGAGTGCTAGTCAATGACCATTTCCAACACAAAGAACTTAACTATCTCAATTTGAGTTTCAATAATATTATTGTTTTTGAATCCCCTAGTAAATAATAAAAAAAAGTTCCAAGATCCAATTGCCTAATAGGGATGGCATGGTGGCTGAGTGGTCAGCATTGCTGCCTCACATCGCCAGAGACCCAGGTTCAATTCCATCTTCAGGTGACTGTCTGTGTGGAGTTTGCATATTCTACCCGTGCCTATGGGGGTTTCCTCCTGGTGCTCTGGATTCCTCCCACAGTCCAAAGACACGCAGGTCAGGAGCGTTGGCCATTCTAACTTGCCCATGGTGTCCAGGCACGTGCAGGCTAGGTGCATTAGCCATGGGAAATGCAGATTTACAAGGATAGGGTAGGAGGGTGGGTCTTGGTGGGTTGCGCTTTGGAGAGTCAGTGCGGACTCAATGGGCTGAATAGTCTGCTTCCATACTGTTGGGATTCTATGATTCTAATCTTATCTTAGTGACTTTGATGGGGCCATTGAAGCTGTTGTGGTGATCAGTTAGCATACGCTGATTGCTTAAGCCAACAGAACTATTTCTCATGTTAACCTCCTTCCCTCAAGCCTACGCAAGGCACAAGTGAAGAATATGATGGAACATTGAAGTTGTTGACTTGTTTGCTGAGCTGTTTTTGTTCAGACATTTCGTCACCATGCTAGGTAACATCATCAGTGAGGCTTCTGATGAAGTGATATTATTCTACTGTGCTTGGAATTTATACTGTCCAGTCTGTTTTGGTGAATAGTGTCATTTCCAGTTTTGTTCTGTATGGGTTTGTATGTGGGGTCCAATTCTATATGTTTGTTGATTGTATTACAGGTTGAGAACCATGCCTCTAGGAATTCCCATGCGTGTCTATGTTTGGCTTGGTCCTTCATTGATGACCTTCATTGCCCCAGTGTACTGATATTAAGGAAAGTTCGTCGTGTCGTTTTGCTGCTAGCTGATGCTTGCTGCAGAACCAACGTAGTTTACAAAATACCATGCAATGACTGCCACAAACATTACATCGGATAGACAGGAAGGAAACTAGCCATCAGAATACATGAACGTCAGCTAGCAGCAAAATAGCACAACAAACTTTCCTTCATATCAGCACACCCGGACAATGAAGGCCATCAGTTTGACTGGGACAAAATAACCATAATAGCCCAAGCCAAACATAGACATGCACGGAAATTCCTAGAGGCATGGTTCTCAACCAATAAGACAATCAACAAACATATAGAATTGGACCCCATATACAAACCCATATAGAACAAAACCAGAAATGACACTACTCACTATTTTGGACTGGACAACATAAATTCCAAGCAGAGTAGAACAACATCGCTTCATTGGAGGCCTCACTGATGATGTTACCTAGCATGGTGATGAAACATCTGAATGAGAACAAGCCAGCTCGGCGAGCAAGTTAACAACCTCACGCACAACCCGAGCTACAAATCTTTGCTAAAACTTTAAATGACGTAACACTCCCCACTCATCTGGATGGGTGCAATTCCAATAATGCTCAAGAAGCTTGACACCATTGAGGACAAAGCAACCCACTTGATTAGCAACACATCCACAAATACCCACTGCTTTACAACAAATGCTCAATATCAGCAGTGTGAATGCACTGTAGAAATTTACCAAGGATCCTTAGACAGCACATTCCAAACCCACAACCACTTCCATCTAGAAGGACAAGCATAGCAGATGCATGGGAACACCACCACCCACAAGTTCTGCTTCAAGCTACTCATCATCCTGATTTGGAAATATATCATCATTCCTTCACTGTCAGTTGGTCAAAATCCTGGAATTCCCTCCCTAAAGGCAATGTAGGTCTATATTCAGCAAATGGACTGCAGGAGTTCAATATGCAGCTCAGACTCATCTTCTCAAGCCCAGCAAGGGTTGAGTAATAGGTGCTGGCCCAGCCAATGATATCCACATTCTGTGAATGATTTTTTACAAAAATTCTTATTTCACTTATCAGAGGCAATAAATCCCGGGGCCGGGTTGTCTGGGTTTGATTCCCACCTGCTCCAGAGTGAAATAACATTTCTTAACAGGTTGATTAGAAAAATAGGTTAAATTAAAAAAAATGACAAGCAGATCTGTGAACCTGGAAAGTCTGCATTCTGCTGCATCCAACTCAAAATGTTCATTTGTGGCACATTGCAACAACCTTGCATCTAAGCATCGCATCAATGTCACAAGTATTATAACAGCACTGGATATTCTGCACCCTCCAGAAACCCATCTGCTTCTTATGTTAAAAATGTTTTCATAAGTGTAAATTTTTGGTTGTCATGACAGCATCCTTTTACCAATCATGTGATCTAAATTGACTATATTTGATTAAATGTCATCTGTAAATAAAGTGTCTTATTTTCACAATTACACAGTCAAGGTAGTGCAAGGAAAGTAGGGTTAATATTACACAAAAATTGTCTTGAAAATATTTTATCAGAAAATAGACCTGGCCATGTTTCCAGTATACCAGGTGTCCGGGTAAAAATATCAGAGAAAGGAATGGTTTCATTCAAATTATACAGAACAAATTGATGGTCGACAAAGATGCAATTCTTGTGAATTTATTTTCCTCTGTTCACATTTTACAAATACCAGTTAATAGATTAGCATAATTTCCTGCCTATGTTATTTTATCATAATTTTTGGTAGCACTAATATTCAAATAGGTCAGAGAGGGATGAAGGGGGAGATTGCTAACTTGGGCATTAAAATGATGCAACAAATAAGATCAATTACAGAAGATTTACACAGACATGTTTTCATGGCAAAATTCCTGGGTTTTAAAGTATTAAATTACTTTCTCTCCTGTGGGCTGTATTTCAGTACTAGGGTAGGAAAGGGGAAGCTGGCAGGAACATAACAGAGTGATAAATAAAGAAACATACCATGTAAGAGAACCTGAAGAAGATAAATGCAACCTATCTAAAGTTAGAAGATAC